GGCAGTGGGATGGAACCAGGGGCTGGCGTTATTGACAGTCGGTCCCATCTCAACGTTTTGCTGCTTTGGGGGAAACCGGGGGCTTGCCTACACGCTGCAGGGGTGTGGTTTCTAGCGCTCGCCAGCATGCTGTGTGTGTTAGTCCATGCAGATCCCTTTGGGGTGCACTAAACATTTCCCCAGTGTGAGCCAACGTAGCTTTTGGTGCCCACCGAGGATCTACCTGGATCAGTTCATGTGCTTTACATATCCCACCCCCAGTGCCGCATTCGGGCTCTGTGTAGACGAGCTGTAAGGGTCCAAATCCAACCTGTGCAGCTTGGCCAGGCCTAGTTTACTGACGGAACCACCTAAGGTTTGTGCAAGACACCCAGAGATCGATTCTCCCCCACCGCACCCCTCATGAGAGCCGCCACCCAGGGGAGTGCAAAGGCTACTTTTCACAGATGTTAATGGCAGTGGGGGGGGATCAAGCCATGAGGCTCCTGAGCAAGGGAAGACCTTGATATAGGGACAAAAATTAAACCAAGAAGACTGATTGAGCAACCCAACGCAGCTGTCTGGGCACCGGCAGTTAGACAGCCAGCTTACAACGCTGAGGCACGCCCCCCCAGACAGAGGCAGCAGCGTGGGGCAGCAGGCAGAAGCTGGCCTGTGTGGGGATGCTGGGGCAGCCTCTGAGCATGGGGAGCTCGGCCCTCGCGGACAGGGGCAGCTGCCACCCCTGCATCAGAGACAGCAGTGCAGGGTGGCAGGCGGGAGCCGGTCTGCATGGGGTGGCAGAAGCAGCTGCGTGGGGTGGTGGGGGCTCCTCGGGAGCGCACTAGCTCCTGGCCCCGTCCCCAGGGTGCACTGAGTAAGAACTGTTGCGGTTACACAATTAGTAAAATAACCGCTTCCCAACATCCCCCAGCTACACAAGCGCGACACGCGGCACGGACTAAGCCACACCACAGTGAACAGCCAGGCTCTCAATGGCTCGTTATGCAATTCAAAGTTTGTTCTGAACGCGCTAACTGTAGGCCTAGGTACCAAAACCTCCCTTCTCTGGTGGTTCAAAACCTCCATATTTCCACCCTAGGCTTCCTCATGCCACGTTAGCCCCACGGGTTCCTTCAGCTTCAGTCGCTCTCCTCCTGCCCTGGGGCTCAGAAGGATGGGAATCCATCTAACCCTTCGGAGCCCGACCCAAACCCTTCGCCCTCGGCAGGAATTCCATCGGCCCGGGGCCGAGCGAGGGAAGAGGGACACATCGGTGCGGTACGATGGCTGGCGCTTGCAAGAGTTGAGAGAGGCGTTCCCCACGCCTCGGCCATTCCAGGCTCCTCCGTGGCAGAGACTAGCTCTAGCTCCTTATCCTGTGCATTACGCCGGAGCCTAGGCGAGTCAGACCCGGAGCAGCACCTCAGAGTGCAGACAGAACTTGGAGCCCGTACCTGAATCCCCCGGCTAATGTGGTACACGATCTGTATCGTCCCACAGTCCTTGTGGCCAGGAAGCGACTGAGTGAACGTCGAAACCTCCATCTTCCCTTTCGGCTGCGTGCCTGTCTTTTCGCCGTAGATGGTTTTACAGGAGGGGCACTGAAGGCTGCCATCCTGTGGGTGAAAAGGGACACGCTCAGAGGGATTTCATGGCAGCAGCAAGGACGCCAGCACTACAAAGGGCCACATGGACCAGGACCCCACCCTGCCAGGTCTCGTAGGGCCCAGCTGCTGCTGTACCTTGTTTCCGTTGGTGTACATGGCCAACACACAGAGCAGGTGGAAAGTGTGTTGGCATTTGGTCAGTCGCCCCACCGCTTCCGGCTTGATCGCCTTGCCCTCACAGGCATCAGCGTAGCCGGAGGGCGAGGCCAGCTTTTCCATGCAGATGATACAGTCCTTGAAACAGAGAGCAAGAAGAAATGCCATTTACCATCAGCATCAGGCTGCGTTTAACATTCACCTTGCGGCGGCATCGGCTTGCCAGAGAGACCATTGAGAAAGGAGTCTTCAGTGGCATTAAACCCCTCTGAAGTCTGAGGAAGTCTCATCCTTCTGAGCCCCCGGTCATCTGTTGGGAAAGCATTCACTCTTCTGGTCTCTCAGTGTGATCGCTAGAGGAGCGTCTCCACAATTAACATTTCTACCTCTCCTGAAGGATCCCCGCGTATCCTACCCAGCGCACAGCCGAAGAGGGGCTCGGCTAGAAAGTTTATCCTGTGTGTGGGAGGAGAGGGGGAGGAGGGGGCGGGGAAACCAGTCTTTTTCCATAATGCTGGGAGGCACCACTATAGTCCAGTCTCTGTCAGAGCAGCCTGCGCCTTTGCAGCTCTAAAGCCAAACCTCTTAGCACTTGAGCATTAGGCTAAGTAAGGGGGCCGCTTCGTATAATGTCCTGTCTCGAGCAGTCGCGTTTCCTGCCTCCGAGTTCCTGGAGGCAAAGCTGACTCAAGGGCACGGAGGGTTATTTTGTTAAGCTGCTCAACAAGGCAGTTTCCCCAGGGAGCTCTCTGCTGGCAGCAAGCATCAGAGATGCAAAGATTCTGCTGAGATGTCACATTGCAGCTCTTCCCTGCAGGCATTAGAATCTGCACAGGGGGCCCCCTGAATGAGTCTAGCCCCAGCCTTCTGGAGTGTGTCTACCTGCCTACAAGCCCAGGTGCTGGGACCAGGGGGTCTGCCTCCACCACTGCCTTGCACTCACGTGGGTGCCTCCTACCATACAGAGACGCACAGGCTGCTCCAGTTCACCCTTGACAGAAAGGCAGCGAGCAATGGTCAGCTCTCCGTAGGAACAGGGACCCTGGCGCACTACTCACATGCGGGGAGCTCCAGGCAGTGCATAGGCCTGGCAGATGCAAGAAATTCCAACCAACAGGCCTAGTTATCTAGTGTTGATAGGACCATTGGGAAGTTGCCTATATACGACCAGAGCCTCAGCTGGCAGGGGGCAGTGAAGTGGCCAGCTGTGGATCCGGCAAACAGTCTAAAGAACGGGGCAGGTTTTACCTGAGCCTTGCCCAATACGCTACGGCAGACCTCGCGCCCAGCCCTTCACCACTCCTCCCTGCTGAGGGGAGAGATGCCGTTGCCCGAGACGCCTGCGATTCCTCGCACTCACCTCATCTGCAGGGGCTCCTCTCAGCTCTTCCGCATATTTCCTCACCACCTGCTCGGGCTCGCTCGGGGTCACTGAAGACGGGGAGGGAAGAAAGAAAAAGCTCAGAGGGAAATGAAGCCTCCAGGAGGGGCAACATGCGCGAGAGCAGGCTAAGGAGAGAGAGCAAAGCAGAGCAGCGGCAGGCCAGCCTGCTGAGGAGAAGGGGAAAGGGTTAGAGCTGGAGCAAGTTATTGCAGCGAGGCCATTCTGACAGGGCTCAGATGCTCTGGGGGCAGGAAACATGCATTTTCAGGCCCAAAAAGGGGCCGGGGCTCATGTAGTCAGACCTGCACAACACAGGCCAGAACATGTCACCCAGTAAATGCCAAGTAGATAAAGACTGGGCTGTCAAAGCTACCCCCGCACAGGGCTACCAGAGAGGGGTGGCCAGTCATGGCTCCCTCTGGCGTCAGGGAGAGCAGCCGTGGCTCGGCTCATCTAAACAGATTCAGGATCCTCTCTGGCCTTCTGGTACATTCCGGCCTGTGCCCTGCCCACGTCCTGCAGGCGACGCTAGGCAGCTGGAGGCCTAGCACCTTCCCAGCCCCAGGCTATGTCTAGACTGCAAGCCTCTTTCGAAAAAGAGCGTCTAGACTGCAAGCAGTACTTTTGAAAAAGCAAGCCGCTTTTCCGAAAGAAAGCGGCGAGGGAGTCTGGATGCTCTCTTTCTAAAAAGCCCTGTTGGCATTCAAGAACGCCTTTTTTCGAAAGAGCACTTTCAAAAAAAGGCGTTCTTCCTCGTGAAATGAGGTTTACCACTGTCGAAAGAAAAGCCGCGTTCTTTCGATTTAATTTCGAAAGAACGCAGCTGCAGTCTAGACGCAGGTGAAGTTTTTTCGAAAAAAAACCCTGAGTCTGGACACAGCCCCAGTGTCTTGCTCCACTGTCTCAAGACCATCCACACGGCAACGGCGCAGACCTCACGTATCCCAACGTTACAAAAGCAGCTCACAGACAGGTGCTAGGCAGAGCAGTCTCTGGGGCGTGCAGGGACACAGCCTGGCATTCGGGGCAGGAAAGCAAACCCTTCCTCAGCCAGGACAGGCCTTTCGTGGGCCCCCCCCGGGGAAAAAAAGCCACTGGGGTTTCCAAAATAAGCAGGGGGCATCCCTGGGATTAGGGATGCCTAATGAATCGTCCTGGAGAGGGAGGCCCAGGCCCGCCACAGGTATTCAGCCAGGCCAGACTCCAGGAGAGCTGTACCTGTGAGGATCTGGGCCCAGCTCTTAGGTTCGCCCTGAGCGAGTTCTCCCCAAGTAGAGAGCCAGCGCAAGCACGTGTGCCCCACTGCAGCCCCTCTGCTCGCCCGTCAGCATAGGAATGGATCCCTCCCCATCCCCCGACTCGGGGCTAGGATCCTCCTCGGGGCTCGGCCCGGTGCTCACCTACGTGGCCGTCTTGGCAGAGGCCACAAAGTGCCACGCTGGTGGTGCCCTGGGTCCCGCGGGCAGCCGGAGGGAGACCTCCAGCTCCTATCAGGTAGGACACCAAAGAGCTCTCAGAGATCAGCTTCTTGCCCTCGCTGGCACAGCTGTGGGGCCAGCCGCATTTCACCACCCTCCTCCCCCAGGCAAAACACCTCCTGGAGGCTTCCCCACCCCAGCGCTGAAACATGGGCAGTGGGAGGAGGAGTTCACCCTCCTCCACCTGCAACGGCGATGCCCCCCACCCCTAAAACATGCCCACGGAGCACCCCAGTTGCAGAACGCCAGAGCTGAGTTTGGCAGAGGGGCCCCGACACGTCCAGGCCCAGTTGCAATGGGCGCTGGGCAGCTCGGGGTTCGACTGCTCCAGCAGACCAGGTGACCCTGGGATTCAGCGCTCACGGGGCTCCCCAGCAAATAGCTCACAGGCTGGAGGAGGATTGGCTCGGTGTGGGATGGAGGCTGGGAGCCAAGAGCCCGTGAGGGGTCACCTGGGAAACAGGCTGGGGCCCCGGCAGTGGCACACGGTGCCGCCTGACCCGATGGCAGGGTGACCCTGCTCCTTACCCACAACTGGGCCCGCCACAGAGGCCAACAGGCTCTTCCACCAGCCTGTGAAGGGAAACATTTGCACAATCGACGGTCGGACTCCACCTAGCGGAGGGCAAGAGAGAGGACTTGGTCACAGCAGGCCTAGCACCCGCGGCCACTCGCTCCCCACTGAAAAGCCAGAGACCTGCAGCCCCCAGGAGCTGGAGGGGGGCAGGGTGGGGGAAAGAGGAGTGCCCAGATAAGGCTATTACCGGTGAGTAATTCTTCCTTGTCCATTCTCCTCTTCCCCCCTCCCAGCCAGCAAAGCGGGGAAGCCAACGGTCCCAGGCAAAGGCCCACTCAGAAGGGGCTTGCAGGGAGAACTCGGCCTACCACAGTACCGCGGCGTTTCAGTGGGGGGTGCTCCAGGCTTACCCACCCACCGCCTCAGTCCCTGCAAGGGCAGACTTGCTCTCTGTGGGGTCTACGTTCATCTGGCTTGCGGCGTCCTCAGGTCAGGGTTTCTCAGTTCACCTCGCTCAAAGGCATTTCCCTCTGCCGCACACGTGCGCTCTGGGCATTTCCTGCAGGGTCCTCAAAAGCGAAGGCTCAATGGGGTAGTTCCACCTGCGTGGCCCTGTCCTCTTCCAGGTCTGCCACCCTGTAAGCCCGGCACCATCCAACAGGCCGAGGACTCCGGCTCGGGTGTGGCCGAGCACCATATCTCTAAAGGCAACTCAATCAACCGGCCTAGGGCTGATGAACAGTCCAGACAGGTCCTAGCACTCTCCCCAGCAACTCGGAAATGCTAAGAGGAACACCTGGGAGTTACCACTTACTCTGATCACGGAGGAGAGCAGCTGTGGATGCGCAGGGACTGGGCCTCATGGGGACGCGAGTCCCATTCACGCAGAGTCGTTTTCCAGCGTAGGAAGCAGGGAGGGAGTGCCAGGCACTTTTGCCAAGGGGACATTGCTTGGCCAAGAGGGCAAAGTTCTGCTGTTTCAGGTCCCTCCCTTGACTCCGGACATCTGACAACTTGGTCTCTTAGAACCTCCAAGAGCTGGTTTTGTGTCCTGCAGAATCCAGGGGCGCTCGCCTGCCAGATCAGCCAGTTTTCTCCTAGGGGTGTGGCCGGATCTGCACGCTCCCCCATCGGCTTGAAACGCCTTGTTGCTAACGCCACACTGCTGAGCGGTATGGAAGGGCGACTAAACGTTCTGGGCAGGCTGAGGGGAGAGGAAAAGCTGCCTTGGGGGGTAAAAGATCAGCACGTAGCGACGCCATTGCGCCGGCCTGCAATCGAAAGGGCCATTTTCAGAGGGCAAACCCTGACTGCACTAAGTCACTGCCTGAACTCCCACGAATACCAACGGGACCAAGTTACAGCCCAAGACCTGTCACCACAGGGGAACTAGCCCCAGTCCACACAAGAGACTCCCCCACCCCTCAGCAGTGTCGCCTTAGCAACATGGCGTTTCAAGCCGATGGTCTGGAAGAGATGTGTGGATTCTGAAGGCCAGAAGGGGCCACGATGACCCTCTGGTCTGGCCTCCTGAGGAGCGCAGCAAGGGGAGCCTCGCCCAGGGATAACTGCATCAGGCCCAGAGCTCCTGACGTGAAGCAATAAGCACAAGGAACGAGGCCCAGCGAGGCGCGAGATCCTGCCATTCACACCCCCACGGCACTAACCTGAGTCCACGAGGAGCCAGGCCACAAGGACACCTCCCCAGCTGTTACGAGATGCAAGAAGAGGGAGGGGAACGGGCTTGGGCCTGTGCCAAGCGATCCCACCCTCATGCCTCCCGTCAGATTCAGAACAGCCAGGGCGGGAGCCGTTTGAATGACCCGACGGGCAGACTCAGGGCCTGGAGCCATGGTAGCCAGGACCAGCCTAGGACGGAGCAGACAGCAGAGGCCCTGCTTCAGTTTGCTTATCACTCTCTGAACTGCAGGAGAGGAGCGGCACCACCGTGCTGCACTCAGATCGCAGGCAAGGGTCTGGCGGAGCGTCGACTCGGCCAGTATAGATGGGATCTAGCTGGGCTGCTTCTGGACTCAGCCCAGAATTCCATCGCAGCACACTTCCCTCTCCTCTCCGGGGGGACAGACAGGCCCGTGGGCAGGAAGCAGCGTTTCGCCACGGCCACACGGCATGAGGAATCTCAGCAGTCCCTCTCCAGCTGAAGTTATAGGCTGAGCCAAAAGGACCAGGCAGGGAAGCTCAATCGCACTCTCCTACAGGGCCAAGACACCCCGCAGGACCCTGAAAAGTTCCCAAACAGCAGCAGCTCTCGGGCTTGAGCTCAACTGAGCCTGCAGGAACCCGAAACCCAGCGGACACCAGGATCCCCCCTGCAGGTAAGGCCCTCCCTGGGCTGGCCTGGGGAGCCTGCGAATCACACTTCAGAGGCTTTAGATACAGATAGTGCAGGTGTTCCTTGCACCTAAGCCTGCCTGCAGAAAATGCCAGGTGCGAGTCTGAACGAGGGCTCTGTCCCCCGTGGTTAGAGCTCAGCTGGACGCGTCTTCCCCAAGGAAGTGGTTTGCACTGCCCTTTTAGGGGACTCCTAAGGGGAAGAGGATTCACGTGGGGGAGGGGCCACCCGGACTGGGGAGGAGCTTACCGGAGGGGGTGGGGGGGTGAAGCACAGCCCTTCAGAGGGGGTGGTATGCACGCTGGAGGAGCAGACCAGAGCTACTCCCCTTTAGCATGTGACTTTAAACCCTGCCCTTGTTGTAACTTGTATTCAGAGGGGAGCCAGGGCCAGAGCGCGCGGGGAGCACTGTGTGGGTGGGGAACAATGTGCTTCTTCCCCACGTAGCTGGGCAATCAGGGTCCTCGTGGAATTCCTGAAGATACCAACCCAAAGAGAAGAGGGGGTACAAGTGACAGGGGCCACCCCCACCCGCAAAGCAGACCAGCTGGCAAGGCAGAGAGGGATGAATGCGCAGCCTTTTGGTACCAATGTGGTCTCAGGAGACCTGGAGTCTAGTCCCAGCTCCGCAACAGGCTCATCTGTGTGACCCTGGGCAAGTTCCCAGTTCATTCTCCGCGAGTCCCCAGCTCTCTTCTC